AATAATAAGAATAAGAATAATAATAAGAATAATAATAATAATAATAATAACAATAATAATAATAATAACAATAATAATAATAACAACAATAATAATAGTCCACTAATCTGCATTATGAAATATTCTACTAAATCTCTGAAAAATTTCAAACTGCTTTTCTCGGAGAAGATCTCTATAATGCTCTACCCTTGCTTAGTATCGAACATTTGAATAAAACCATTAACGTTTTTACTTTCAAGTAATGACACACCTATGATTATATGCATAATGGCAATTAATTTCATTGAATATTATAAACGCGTTGCCTAATGACGATATTGGACTAATTTGAATGACTCCTAAAATTTTAGTATATTTGAGTTTGAAAACGCGTTAGAATTTCATACGAATGTAACAAGAAAATGTCTAGTCGACGAAGACCAAAACATGTATGTATGTATGTGTAATAATAATAATATAATAATAACAATAACGTGACTGTTCACCGCCCGTGTCCCTGAACCTTTTCCCTAGAAGCCCACCAATCAATTTCAATGTAGAATGCTAACTTTACGCGTACTCTTCAAAATAAAACCACAAACCATAAATAAATCTGTCAAACAAACAAGATAGACACCTGCTTTCTGCGAACACTTTAAGAGTGTGGCCAACATTGAGCTCTCATCCGATTAGAATAAAAATTGAATCAAATTGAGATTTTAATTAAATAAACCGCTGAAGAGAAATGTAGGGTAAGCATAGATGCTAACAAACTTTGTTGTATGTTGGATCTTACCACACATACAAACCTATCATATCAGGCAGGTTCAGGGATTTTGCATGGAATAGTGAACGGCACTAGTTGCCGGCAGCGGCCACCACGCTGTACCAAGAACAAGATAAAAACTGCATTAATCAAGACAGCCAATAATCTCTTTTTCATTTCAATCGTTTACCATATTTTTATGTATTTAGAAAATGGTATTCCTGCAAGGATGTACCGTGGGACCCCCCACAACCTTCTGGTTAAGTACCAATGAAAATGGGTAGCCTAACTATAGCCCTGCCCCACTATATCTAGCTGGAAGTGATACTAAGAAATGTGAGATTCCATACTATGGACTCACGGAGGCTTTTAAGAAAATATTATATTTCTGGGCTGTTACTTACAGTGCATGTCTCTTTCGTGCTCATACTCAATGAAGGCATATCCTCTAGGTTTGCCATTTATTGTATTATGAATTACCACAATCTAAAAATTATTAACACAATATAGAGAAAATAAATTCAATTAAATTTATAAAATGTCAACCATTTTATATTTGATTATACCTTTTTTACCGGTCCGTAGACTTCGAACTCCCTCCTAAGCTTGGATTCCGATGTATCATAATTCTAAAACAATATGCTTACATTAATAATATATCATAAAATATTTAACACGCTTAACTCAAAAAATGTTCTATCCAATTATATTCGATGGTAAAACTATTGAAATAAATACGTACTATTCTTGCTACAAATAATGTTTTAAAAGGATCTGCAGTCACATTGGGTATACCAGCAGGATCCCAAACAGCAATTTCTTGTTCTAATTTATAAGCAACTTGTTCAGCACGTTCTCTTCTTCTACGCTCCAATCTTTCTTCTCGAGTTTCCACACGTACAGGTGGTGGAGTATCCTTGGGATCCTTTTATAAATTTATAAAATGGATAAATTAAAAAAGTAATATTTGCAAAAACAAAAAATTTACATGACGTATTGTGTCACTACTCAATACATAATATACATTCTCGATGATTAATAAAATTTGAAATGCATCCAATCGCTCTTACATAACGCATTAAAAATGAAAACAAGAAAAAAGATCACTCACACATATGCATACATTTCAAATCGCACTTGAAAATCATACACACTCAAGAAAGTTTTAAAAAATGTATCCAATTATTTGAGGTTTGAAAGGCCTAATTAAAAACAATATCCGTTTGATATGAAAAAAAAGGAAAAAAACATAGGTGAAAAATATTAATGTCATGTATTAATGTAAGAAAATAAAATTTACCTCAAAATATTTAAGAAATGTCCCAACGCCAATATATCCTCCATTCTTCTTTTCGTGTGGGAGCTTGCTGGCCGGTGGCAAATAAGGTATTGGTTCGCGCGGAGCAAATAATGCAAGTAAATTAGGTGGTAAAAATTGCGTCATTTTGTTTATTATTACACAATAATGCAACCAACTTTAATTATCTCGCTTAGATTAATTAAAAAGAACACAGGAATAACTGCATCTTTAGTCACTACACTCCTTAAAATGGCGTCGATGTTACAACCGGTATGCCATAACCACATAACCGACAAGCCTATCTACAAGCCACAATAGAAAGAAACATTTATCGAAAAGAACTTTCACAATACTGTACACGTTTACCGACATGTGTTTACTATTCCTACCGTTAGATGACACTACCTTACTATTGATTTCTATGATTCACCAATTATATTCATCCAGGTTGAATCTGATTGGTTGTTTATCAATATCGAAATTTGGATATAATTTTAATATCGTTTGTTACAAATTTTATTCGATATATTTCATTGACAATTTTAAATAATTTATTTAAATATAATATTGCAAGAAACGTTGTACGCATTGAAAATGAAAATTCAAGAATAGGAAATCAAAGAATACAGAAATGGATAAAAACTCACAAGTCTTCCTTTTTTATCTACCCAGTTTCATTTTTGTTACTACCGAGACCACCAGTGGGCGATAGTATGCACTTAACGAAATAAAAGAATACAGTATTCTTTGATAGTATATGATAGTATATGATATATTCTTTGATAGCATATATAGTATAGTTATACATATATTATTACATGCTTTTCTGGACGAAAACGAGTAAATTAATGCTAACCGGCCTAGGTTCCAAACCTCCCCCGGCAATGTTAACAATGCCTAGCGTTAGGCAATGTGAACAATGCCTAATCCGCAAACTTTTCTTTGCCATTTTATGAACCTTTGCAGATTCATTTATAACGCGAAAAGGTACTCTACGTGTAGATAAAAAAATGCACTTTAATTTAATATAAAAATCATTAAGATTCGCTTGCTCTAAATATAAAAAATATTTGCCGAAACTTTTCAAAGAAATTGCAAAGATGCACAATTTACAACATTGCATTCTCTGACATTTTATGAAGTTTACATGCTAAATTTATAACTCGATATGGTATTCTACGCGTAGACAAAATAGTGTACTTTAATTTAATATTAGATTCATTAAAATCTATTTACCTTTAGTATAAAAAATATTTACCAAAACTTTTCAAAGAAATTGCAAAGATGCACAATTTACCGCATTGCACAATCTTTAATATTTCTTTGAAAAGTTTCTATGTTCGATGCCCAGGAAAAACTCTGTAAAATGTCTTTTCTCCGACTTTGTCGGTAGGCGCTTTTCATTGATAAGAATGCCGAGGAATTACTAGCAATGACTGATTTCCAGCTATGACGGTAACATATATACTATCAAAGAATAATGTATTCTTTCATCGTCTTAAGTACATACTATCGCCCACTGGTGGTCATGGTAGTAACAAAAATGAAACTAGGTAGATAAAAACGAGGGAATTGTAAGGAAATGTAATTTTCTGCATTATTTACCAAGCCATTTAACAGCTAATGACAAAATCAGAGACAATAAAAAATATTTTCATAATTAAATTTGAAAATGCAAATATAAGAAAAAATATAATTATGATTAAAACTATATGTTCGTTTCTATCGCTGATTATATAAATAATAATATTTCAAATAATATATCGAAATAAGTGGATCGATATTAAAGAATTATCGAAAGTTCCGCTAGAGAGCGCGATCTGTCTCGTTATCGTTAATCTCATGTTTAAACTGAATTCTTCACGGACGATTTAATAATGACTTTTCATTGTGCAGTAATCTCGTAAAAATTCAATTAATCGAGAGAGTATTGATCATCTAATAGAATTTAAAAAAAAAGTTGAACGAGTTATCAGCTTCTGAACGATGAAACGGAACGAAATGGTAAGCTTAAAGGTTTCTACTTATTCTTATCAATGATAATTTTTAATTTTTTCAAACATTATTTAAAACTCTTGCAAATTATCTGACATGAATGATACAAATCGCAATAAAAAATAACGGAGAGTATCAAAATGGTAGAGAATATTTTTTTGGAAATGCGTAAAAAAAAACAAAAAAATAACAAGGTGCATTGATGAAACGATCGCGAAAAAGTCTTTTTAAAATACGAAAAGAAAAAATACAAAATGGCTGATATTCGTTTCTTTTTTCTAATAAATTAGTTAAACTAATGGTCGTAATAACGTATTCAAGGTAATACCAATGAAATAACACCGTGTCATTTATATCTATCAAATTATTTTCTACAATTACATACGTCTGTAATATATACGTAGGTGTATTTAAGAAAATTATATGAACGAACGAACGATAGCTAGCTAGCTAGCAAGATCGTTTCTAACTCTTTTACGTAAGAGTACATTAAGAGAGGGAAAGAGAGGGAGAGAGGGAGAGAGAGAGAGAGAGAGAGAGAGAGAGAGAGAGAGAGAGAGAGAGATTGAAGGAAGAGAGGTATGAAAATTCTTAGAAATTTTGTACACACATGTGGTAAAGACACTATTCATTCCGCATAGTTAACAAAGATCTCAGAAATTTGTGGTTTCTTCTTATACGTATTCAACGTTCTCAAAGATACGCGTACATACACACACACATAATAGATTATATACTCTTATAAATACACTTACGTAGTACTTAAATAAGTATATAAGTAAAACGTCTAATAATCGTTTTCAACATGATTTTTCTTTTATTTTTTTATTTTTCTTCTTCTTCTTTTTTTTTTATTACTATGTCGTAACAACAACGTAAAGCAAGCATAACTATCACACAAAAAAAGACCTTGTTTACGTAAACACGAATATTACGATGTGTCATTTTCTATTTCCTACTTCAGTAGCTTACAATTTTATCTGATTTTATCAGAAACTCTAATATAATGAATTTTTATTGTATTTATTATATTTCTTTTTCCTCGGTCTGATCTTTACAGATTTAATTTAACAAAGAAAAAAAAAGAAGGAAAATACTACGTAATTTTTAAATAATTAATCAACTAACATATAAGTTTTATGTTTGTATATATATATATTAATTGATTATTTATTATATTATATGTATTATATTATGTTGGTGAATTGACAAAATTTGAACCTAATACAGAAACAATTTTTATTTTCGGTCAAAATAACTTCCATTTAACAAACAAGGTTTTTAAGTGTTCGATATATCTTAAATAATCGTTAATAATTCGAAGAAAATATATATTATACTTTAAAAACAAAGAGTATAAGTTCTACGTACCATTCTTTTCGAAATCCATCGTTAAACTGTCTCATTGTCATCTATATAAAGTTGATCAAATTTCTTTTATTGATTTTTTTGCTTATATGACTTTTACAAAGGAATAACGAAATAATAAACTACGGATTTTCGTATGTTGCGTATATTTCGAATATTCTGAGATATTTGTTGACCACGGATTGCATATTTTTTATGCAATTTTGTTGCACAACAATAAGAAAAAAGAATACAGAATTTCAACTAACTGCAGAAACGATTTCCACAAATTCTAATGTTTTCAACAAACAAAAATCAAATAGTTTTTCTCTATTCAAAAAGAAGAAAATTTATCTTGTAATCCATAATTTAATTTAGATAAGTTATCTATCAATCGATTTCTTTTTTTTTTTTTCTTTTACGCACCATCTAAATAAAAGTTTATACACACACATATTCACATATATACATGTGCACGTAGTACTACGTTTTATATATATGTAAAGTGATAAAATTATATAAGTATCGTCTAACAAGCAACGTGAAACGATTCAGTTTACATACTCGCGAATAAGTTCCCCTCTATTCCCCTCGTATCACCCTTATTCACTTTCGGAGTCATCAAAAAAATATTTCGAACAAACGAAGCACTGTAACTACGGCAGCTGATATCTTACGCGAACGAGACCACCAACCAACCAACCGTTCGATTCGATATATTGTTATGAAAATATTTTTTACCGGTCACGCGGATAATACGATAATATCTTCGAATCGATATAATACAGTACGCGAGTATCCCTCCTTGTTTTTATTATTATTTTCTTTTTTCCAATTTTTTTTTTTTTTTTTTACGTAGAAAATAATTTTTTGTGAATTGTATTAAATAAGTTTATGTATCATTTTTTTTTTTTTTTTTTTTTTTTTTTTTTTTGTAAAAGAGAATTTTTCTATCCGTAGAAAATAATCGTACGAATGGTATTTTAAATTGACCTTGCGGATTTTGTCTTTTTCCAAATAAATAGTTAATAACACGGCTGTATAAATATATTTCCATGTATTTAAAAAATATAGCATCAATTTAACGAGTATTTTTAGATAAAATAATAACGAAAAAAAATTATTATACAAATAATATAGTAATTAATCTGTCGAGAATAGAGTTATTGATAGAGTTGAAAGAAATTGATCTAAAAACTATAATTGCTTCAATCGATATCGTTTAAATATGCTAATACTTTGGCATATGCACGCACAGATATAAATCAAGAACGCATAGTATTAAATATCCTTGTTCTTTTTATATATATATATTTTTTTTTTTTTGTATAATTTTCCTTATTTATATTTTGTTTTGTATTTTTTTTTTTCTTTTACTTCTTTTTTCATTTTCTTCTTCTTTTTTCTTTTTCCTTCCAAGTAATAGCAATAAATCTTTGAAATGCATAAACTCGTCTAGAAACGACGATCATCTCGACGAATTATTCATGAGAAACATGTCTGAATATAATTGCCGGTGTTATATTTATCAAATATATGTATACGTTCATGACTTTTTATCGTGTATCTTGCATTATAACTTTATAAAATTCTTCGATAGCGAAGACACGTGTATCTCGGGTAAAATTAAAAATTAACAAGAAATAACGAAGAGTAAAAATTAATAGAAAAAAAAAAAAGAAAAAAAATAAGTAAAGAAATGAAGAATATATAAGCTATGTTGTTTCCTGGCGTATAGTAGGAATCTTTTCAAAGAAAAAATAAAATTAGTCGGTCGTGATAAGAATTGCGCATGCGCTTTAGTTATTTGTCGTCAGCATTTAATCTTCGCGAAAGAAAGAAAATACACAAGAGAGAGAGAGAGAGAGAGAAATATTACATTAGACAAAAATTCTGAACGTATATTTCGCATTCGTAGAGAAGCAGCCTAGTTTTATCTCAGCGCACAAGAAAGATAGAAATAAATAAAAGAAGAAGTAGAAGAAGATGAAGAAGATGAAGATGAAGAAGAAGAAGAAGAAGAAGAAAATAAAAAAAAAAGAGGTTAATCGCAAATAGTTATGCCGATGAGGATGGATACAACGAGTTGTTACACAAGAGTTAATCGTTAACTCGCTCTATGTAACCTAATTATTTCTAGTGTCTCTCGAGGAAAATTATATAATATGAATTTTATCATTCTCCTATTATAATCTAACTTTATCATAATACACGAAGTTATGTATTACGGTTATATTGAAGGCTGCTGTATCACAAAAATACTAATAAAAATACGAGTATCTTTTATAAATTGCACATACATGCTACAAATTCCACAACATAATTTTACTTTATACAAAACGACAAAGCTATTAGTAATAAATTCTATCATGAATAAAATATTCGCGTATTCTTATTAAAAAATTATATCAAAATAAATCTAAACATTTATTATCGTATCCAAAAATAATCAAATTTTTATCATAAAAAAGAAAAGAAAAGAGAAAAAAAGAACGAACAAAATGAAAGGAACTTAAATTAAATATAAAACAATATAACTACGTTAAATATAAAGTATTGATATATATATTCACATATATAAAGAGATAAAACGGGATTTGTTATGTGCAAAGATTAGGGATCGATGATGATGGGTAATACAACGGTTACACATGATCCTACATGGAATTTATGGTGGGAAGAGGGGGCGGAGGGTTAAGAAAAGATAATTCGTGGTGACGGTATCGTTTAAGAGAAAAGAGAAGAGAGTGGAGTAAAGAATGGTGAAGTGGGGAAAGGCGGGGGTGAGGTTGAGGAGACTGGGGGGCAGGAGGGGGGGGGGGAAATAACACGCACGCGTTGCTTACGTATATACGAAGCAATTAGGATGCGGACACTGGCGTAGCACCGGTGATATACCATCTTGCTGCAACCAGCAGAATAATGCAGCAGTTTCTACATGTAAGTACTACATATATTCTTGCTTGCTTGCTGGCCAGTATTCGACGATGCATCGCATGCATACCCGCGGCACGAACGCTTACGCGTTCCGAATAAAGAACCGCGTATGCGGATTGCGTTGTCGACCCCTACTCTCTAGAAGCCCCCCCTCTAGCCCCCCCCATCCCACCAACCCCCCCTTTAGCCAACTCTTTACTCTTTACCCTCTCTTTCTCTCTCTCTCTCTCTCTCTCTCTCTCTCTCTCTCTCTCTCTCTCTATCACTCAACACACATGTGCTAAAATGCGCGCGTGGCTGACTCCTCGTGGATGAACGTCGACCACGTTCGCATATTTTTCCCAAATTCCTTCTTTCTTTTCTCCTTTCTTTCTTTTCTTTTCTTTTATTTTCTTTCTTCTTCTTCTTCTTCTCCTTTTTTTGGTGTTGTTTTTTGTTTGTGTGTTTTTTTTCATTATTATTATTCCGCACTTTGTCAACGTATGACAGAAAAGAAAAAGAAGATACGAATTCATTTAATTTCTTCTAACGTTTCGACCAATGGCAACTGTCCGACCAATGGTAACGATAGATCCATGAGAAATACCACGTTCCGATTGGTCAATTTCTTAGAATCGTTGAATATTATAATTGAAATGAAACAAATTAATATTGATATTTTATTCGATAAAAATAAAATATTACGTAATGTAAAATGAATCACAGGTGAAAATATATATCTCGTTGTTATTGTAATACTTGAATATTAGATTTTGATATTGTTGATGAGGATTAATAGTTCTAAAAGGGTTCGTAAGCTTTTTTTTGATTCGTCGTTGTCCCTGAGAAAAAGGGTCCGGGTATTAAGGGACTAAACTACAGTTGGCAATGGGCACTTTAGAAAAGAAAAATGCCTGCGGCCCTGTCAGGCCTACGACGAGGAGGCCTCTGCTCGCGACAGAGAACATATTTGTGAGAATGTGCCCGTTTCCCGGCGGCCATCTTGCTTTTGCATGATGTCACGACGTGGCCTACTTCCGAGCACTCCACGTGCAAGGGTCATCGACCCTGTTCGCCTCTAATCCCCTTTTGTCTATTCGTTGCTCACTACGTCTACGAAAGTTCCCTCCCCCCCTCTGTCTCTCTTTCTCTCTCTCTCTCTCTCTCTTTCTGTATTTTTATTTCTCCTTCTTCTCTTCTCTTTCTTTCTCATTCAATCTCTATCTCTGTTTAATTCTCCTTCTCGTTACGATCGGTAGAACAGCAAACCCTTACGAAACATAGTACGCGCACGATTTCGGCTCAACTCGATTCAACTCGGCACAATTCGGTTCCACCAAACCGACGTTCCTAGATTGATTCACCGTCCCTTTTATTCGTTCATGCCCGTAGTCTGGATCAAAAGGGGGAGATCACTAGATTTCCTCTAGTGTCTCTAATATACGTGTTCACTATATCATCGTATATGCTATTTAGCTAAGGTAATAAGTAAAAATGTCAATATTTTTAATAAAAAATATAATTTATATAT